ATGATACAAAATTGGGTGGAATAGCTAGTATGCTGGAAGAGAGAAACGAAATTCCAAAAGATCTTCTAGGCTTGAGCAATGGGCTGAAAAATAACAGAATGAAATGGGATAACTGCAAAGTTGTACCGGGGGGGGGGATCCGAACACAGAATTAAAAGATGGCAGATACCTGGCTCAGTAATAGTACATGTGAGAAAGATCTTCGGATTCTTATAGATCACAACAAGCTCAATAGGAGACAACAGTGCAATGTAGCTGCAAAAAGTATACTATTTTAACCTGCATTTACAGAAGTACAATCTCTGAATCCCACAAAGTACTGGTTCCCCTCTATTCAGGGGGAAGTAAGGCCTCATCATGAGTACTGTGTCCAGTTCTGGATACTACACTTTCAAAAGGTTTTAGACAAACTGGAAGTTTAGATGAGGGCAACAAGGAAAATCGGGGACTGGAAACCAATCCCTGTGAGGAAAGACAGAAATAATTGGGCCTGTTTAGCTTTGAGAAAAGAAAACTGAGGGCAGATATGATAGCACTTTCCAAATACTTGAAAGGCTGTCATACAGAGGAAGGCAAGATCTCAATCATCCTACAGGACAGGACACACAATAATTTGTTCAAATTATAGGAAGCCAGATTTCGGTGGAACATCAGGGAAAACCTCCTCACAGAGCAGGGCAACCATGGAACCAATTACCTCAGGAGGTGGTGAGCACTCCACCACTGGAGGCATCCAAGTGGAAATTGGACAACTTTCTGTCAGAACTGCTTTGACTTGGATTTCTGCCTTGAGCAGGGGGGTTGGACTCGAGGGCCTTCCAGGTCCCTTCTGATTCCATTATTTTATGATGTGGAGACGGCCATGTGGTTCAGAATTACACATATGCAAGAGCAGAGGTTTGGTAAAGGAATCACCCTACATAAGCATCCTTCAGTCTCGAGAAACTATGGTAACATGCTCTGAATCGAGGAGGGTCCTCTCCAGAGCATAAAGCCTAGGTAGAGTAATATGGAGGATAGGCTGTTACCCAAGCAACAGATCCCCCTCTCCACGTTGCTGAAATGGTCCAGTGGAAAGGCAAGAGCCAATACATCTGGTTCCAGCAACGTCGCAGGAGTTGGCAAAACGACACGAACTGCCTCTGGGACTCCGGCTCCGGAATTTGCCTCGAGGTTAACTCCTGAAGCCTTTTCCATGAGTGGATATATCCGCAAGGCAGTGGAGGTTTGAAATCAGAGTTTTCCTTCTCCTAGATGGGCTGCCTTCCATGGCTGACGAGCCCCACCTACCCGGTCTGCTCTTTAATAGTGTGGAAGTATGATCCAACCCTTCCAACTTTCCTGCCTCCCAGGTGTGTGCAGAGACCTGGAGTCATCCTCCTCTTGCATTATTCTGAGCCTATGCTTCTAGGAAGGTAAGCTTTAAAATGCATAAAAGAAAATACAGCAGAGCTGTCCTGAATTGTTCTTACTTCCTCCTACCCACCCTGCCTGGAAAGGCTGCGGGAAAAGAACAACAGCACCCCAAAATGAAAGCCACAGAACAGGGAAGAGAAACCACCCCCGGGCTTCCTCCTTCCTCCTATGTCCCTTTCTGGCTTGAAAGGCACATTCCCTCAGCCAAACACTTGGGGCGCTCGCCTTCGCGCCCTGCCTCGCACCGCCCCGGTTGCGGGTCACGTGGGGGGAGCGTTTGGGGCCGGGTGGGGGCAGTCATATGACCCCGCAGAGCCGCCTTTCTTTCTGCCCCGGCGGAGGGTGGCCCCTTTTTTTTTTTTCCTGGGGCGACATAGTAACAGCTCGAGTTTTCTGTCTGTTCCCCAATCAGGCCCTTTCTCCCCGGAACGCGGTGTCTTGCTAAACGCCGAGGTGCCGCGGCTGCAAGCTGAATTTTAGCCCCGTTGGAAGAAAGGATTTCCTCAGCTCGCTTACGCCAACTCTCTTTCGTGCCAGGGTTAAACCTCTTAAAGCATATAAGAAATACTGATTTTCAAAAGGGTGCCTCCTTTAGTCCCAACATAAGAGAAAAGGGAGAGGAGGGGAAAAAAAAGTTCCGTGGCACCTTCCACATTTTAACACGAACCAGAGTGGATCCAGATCCGCCCGGTTTAAGAATAAAATCTCAAGTGTATATGCAGCGGACCTGGTTGCGCAGCGACAGGATCAAGGTGACAAGGGGTACAGAAACGACGGTTGTATTGACATTCGTCAATAGACGCCCAAAGGTCTGAAATATGAAGTGGTGAAAGCGGTCATGAGCTGGTGCAGAGTGTACTATATTTATTTATTGTATTGCTGAAGGCAGTTTCCGTACCTTGTGGGAAGGGAATGTCACAGGTTAAGAGGGCATGGATCAGTCAAACGCAAGCCCTTCCCCCACTTTCTTAGAAGTGCAACACCAGCCTTGAGATAAATCTGTTCTTCACAGCCTTTAGTGAGCATACGTTCGCCTTCAGTCCTGGGCAGAGTATGCTTCAGTGTATGCTTCTCATGTTTAGCGGCTTGGTGGCCAAGAGGTGTCAGGCCGATGCCCAGGGAAGAAGGAAAAAGCTCTGCTCAGGCTTCCAATGTGGAGTTACCAGAAGGTGATCTTGAGTTCAGCCTTTGGCACATAAGCAAAGTTTGTCCACCCTACACAATTCTGGTAGTTGATATTGTTTTTAATATCAGATTGCCATCCTGTGGAATCCTGGGATTTGTAGTGAGGTGAGATACTTAAGAATTTCCTGCTTCGGATTGTTAGAGTTGTTCAGTGAAGCACATTGAAGTTCTGTAACAGAGAATGTTTAGAATCTCACCAAACTGTAGTACAAATCTCAGGATTCTCTAAAAGAGAGCCATATCAGTCTAAGTGGTGTCAGATTGCTGGAACTCTGTATTGAATAGGCATTTTTCAGTCCGTTTTTTCTGTCTCCATTTCTCTCAGGTAGAGAAACTGGAGACCCCTGAATCAGGTTCCCTCTTTGGGTTGCGTTATTGATTCCTTGTAAGACATCTTTTAAGAATTGAATTGAAGCCAACATGGATTCTTAAATAGTGTCAAATAGAAGGGTTTTTTATTTCAATTACATCACTGGTCTATTTAGCACAGTATTGAGTGCACTAAGAGCAGGTTTCACTGCTGTTTAATTTTAATTTGCCTGTTTTACATCAGAGAATGATGTAGGTAACTTTGGTTAGGATATGTGCTGAACTATGTACTTCTCTGCATTGCTGGAAGATAGCATAAGTTTGCATAAACCTTGCCTCTAAAATTATGTTATATAAACTAGAGGGAGTAAACTAGAGGGTAAACTAGAAGGCTATTTAATGAATGAAAGATTGGAGTTAACTAGAATTTGTGTCTGGTTTTAAATGTCTCCTTTGCATTTATTTCTTTGCCTTTATAACATTTCTATAACATTCCACAGTGACATACTGGAACCTAAAAAGCATTTGTGACTTCATGTGTTATGTCTTTTTTGTACACTGGTTGGTAAAGTTAAATGGCCAGACCCTTCAGTTTATCTCCCTGCTTTCTGCACCGTCTCTTAGCATTATCTTTGTTTTTGATTTTTTTCAGATGATTGTTGACAAAAATAGCTTTAAGCCCCCAATTTTTTGCTGTTCTGTCTCACAAAACATCCACAAGTTGGCATGTAGTCTTCACTCGCAAGGAGAACTTGTGTTTCAAAAACACACTATTTAGTTGAAGATCTTACATTCTGATGGATGGATGTATTTCCCATTCCATCTGCCTCTGAATAGATTTTATTTTAGTGTTGCTAATCAGCAATAGCCTTTGTATAGGCTGTTTTCAAGGTCAACTTGTGAGAAAATCAGATTTGCGCACTCTGCATTTTGTGGCACATAGCAAAACCGTCAGCTTCATGCATTATTTCAACAAAAATTGCTGAAGTGTTGAATGCTTTTGTGCACGTTCATAACCCTATCTTAATCTGTCTGCCATCCGGGCGGAACAACTGCGACAGTAAAAGTATTGAAATGAGGTCTTAAGACTAAAGAATGCACAACAAACATCTTATAAATGAAATATGACGAAACTCTGCAACACAATCATTTCATTTTATTAAATTAGTCTCCCCTTCCCTTCCCATATGGCTTCCGCTTTGATTGTATTTTATAATGTTTATTTAATTCAAATTGTAAATCTCTAAATTATTGTTCCACTTAATTGCAAGCCTGTCTGCCTAATCTCAGGATATATGAAAGTTTTTGTTTGCCCCATGAAATTATTAATTGCTCCTTTCCCATACAGGTCACTGGTGCAGGCTGTGGTCAATATCAAGCAGTCATTTCTGAAATGGTGAAAATTCTCCCATGTTCCCATAGCAAATATTTTTAAAAAAATGATCCCCAAGTGTTTTGCTGGTTGCACACAGGAGTAGCTTGGCTTAATAATGAGAGAGAACTGGGCCTTGTGGGTGCACATGCAACCCTCTTTGCATCCCACTTTACATGAGCTGGCAAACAAGCTACAGTCTTCTATTCCATTGTTGTTGTTGTTTAGTCGTTTAGTCGTGTCCGACTCTTCGTGACCCCATGGACCAGAGCACGCCATAGCCAACTTCAAACCACAGCTTAATGTCCTCGCTTATTTCAGAGCCTTTGACTGTAGCTTCGAGATTTGGATGGACAGAGAAACAGTAGTCTGTAGAAGACATCGTTCTTTGTTTTCTCACACATGCAGAGGAAAGCACTAGGGCTGTAGGAACAACCTATGGCCTATTTTTTGCTCAAATTATTAAAACTGAAATATAATTGTTACAGTATGAGTACTGGTGACTTTTTGGTATAAGCAATAAAGTGGGCTTGTATTCTACACTTGTATGTTGAAGGTACAAAATCTGTAGCCAAATATAGAACAGGAGAACTAAGGAGAGATGTGGGAAAGGTCTTGGTTGATTACAGATTTCCTTTTGGTTAGACAGCTCATAGAGAAGGACTACCTGATTGCAGAACCAAGCGCTGGGAGTTTCAGTTTCCACTGTGCCTCCCAGTAGAAGAGGCAGCCCATGAAGCCTTGGGCAAGCTGCATAGTTCCATTGTGCACCCCCAGAAGAAGGGAATGGAAAATCACTCCTGTGTACTTTCTACTTAAAAACTCAGTAAGTTAGAATTGACATGATGGAACACAATTATTCCAGACCAGCCATAGTTTGTGAACTTTAGATGCCAGAACAAATCTTCGAAATGTGCTGCATTTCTTTTCACTCTCCCAAGTAAGCATGTATAGAATGGCAGTGTAAGTGAATTCAAATGTGTGAAGGAGTCTACAACATAGTAAAGAAATAGTGAAGAGATATGTAAAAATAGTCACAACTAAAAATTAGTCTGTTAAAACCATTTTATGCAAGTATATTTTTATATTGTATATTTTCAACAAAATGTGGAAATCCTTCAGCATTAACTAGTCTTTGTTTCAGACAAAGAGTTGTTTCTGTGTCACATACTGTAGAACAAGATTCAGAAAGTACAGAAAAATATTTTCTAAATCAATTTTCTTTGATGCAGAGAAAATCCAGCTTTATTCAAAAGCTCAAACATTTTCCAGCAATAGTGTTAAAATGTTGTAGGTGCTTTAAATGATTTATAATAGTGGTGTTAATTGTGACATGGTGTACAGAGATTAAAGGATGAGCCTGTCACTGCTTGGAGGTTCCAAAATGTGATTTTTAAAAAAGAGAAAAGACAAGCAAGCTAGTGCAGGTGCCATTTCTTGCCCCATAAAAACATGTTTCTGGGCACCTCACAAAAAAAAAACAAGAAGAAGGAAAGAAAAGAGGGTGGACACTTTTGCTATTCAGCTGCAAAGTTGGGGTGAGCAAGGACCAGCATTGCAGATTCCAAGCTGGTTCTCCATATTTCTGCATATAGGTGGCTTTCTAGACCCACCAGCCGCTCCTCTGTGAGGTATCAAATATTATTATGTCTTATTTATCAAAGTGGTATAGCTCTGCCAGAGCAAACTAATTAGAGAAAGCAGGATGTTCTTCCCAGCTGGCAAAGGTCATGCAGACATCTTGCCAAATTGTGGATAAGGCAGGTTAAGAATGATGGTCTGACATGTTGTTTAAATTTATAATATGTACAAACCATCATTCCACCTTCACATGCCCTGTACAACTGCCAATAGGGGATGAATCTGAGTGCTGTGATAGTAGGCAATGAAAGAAGATAAGCAGCTTTAAATCAGATTTCCTGTTGTATGGAAGCTTAAGCGATAGCTTATTGCCATCTCCAAATTTATCCATTGTCCTCTGCATGAGATGCCTAATTAGTAAGTCAAAGCTGTTTTCTAATTAAGGGAAGGATTCTGAAAGTCAAGCCATGTCACATGATGAAACTGACTCCCAGTGGAGCAAATGCTGAAAGCCTCCTGTTAGTAAAGTCATGTTGTTGTGATGGACTTCCACTGTTAAGATTCATTTCAGAGGCAAAGCAAAGAAGGGTAGTTAACAATATTCTTTTGACAAACAATTGCTCTATAGACAAATAGAGTTTAGTGCATGCAGGGTGCGTATCTTGTTTCCCACAGAGCAATTATGTTTACTTGTATGTGCCATCTGTTTTAAGATTTCTTCGGTTGACACACTACTTTACAGAAAGCATGTGTCGTGTTTATCTGTATTTGTCCCAGATTGCAAGTACACATACAAGTGCTAGTAAGAAGGAGGATTTCTGGATGTTGGCATTCTGTTTCCCCGTCACTCATGGGTGGGGATGATCACAGAAATCCCATACTCAGAGTCTCTGCTCATTATTGAAAACTGCATAATTGATGCTTAACTTGCATAATACCACCATCTCTGCATAAAGATGTCAACATTTTCTTGAATGAAACCGCATTACTCGATCATGACATTCTGTTGGGTTGCTCTTTGATTTTAATTTGTGTTTCATGATGTAAAGAAAGTGATAACACCAACAGCCCTGAGTTCTGCAAAACCTGTATTACATATCCCAGGTGTAAGTTACTTTGCTAGGTTATGTTATTTGTAGTGACTTAGTGTGTCAGCCTGGCTGCAATGGTAAACCATACTTTGAGTGGTATGGAAATGGGCTGCAGTGAACCTCTGTCTTGTGTGCTCCTCATTCTGCTACATGCCAGGGAAGGGGGTTGGAAACTATATCTAAAGCTCGATCTCAAAAGTACCTGCAAACTATTATCCCTGCATGTTGTAAAGCAGAGATTAACAGCATCCAGTGTTCCAAGAGCATCACATGCTCACATCTGTGCCTTAGAGGGCTATACTTCCTGCAGCCCACCTACTTCATTTTTTTTTCTTTTCCCCTCATCTCTAGTGGCCAATTTTTTATAAAATCACAGGCAGTATTTGAGGATGAGAAGCAGGATTCTTGCCCACAATGCTCATCAAAATTGTCATTCTTTTCCATTTTCCAGATTGTTGCATAAAGTCTTTCTTCTTTCTTTCTAAAAGTCGTTTGGGGTCCAGAGCGTAGCAGCATTGCATCTTGCACTAGAGGCACAATCAAACTTTCTGAGCCAAGTATACTTGGAACTGCTTGTAAGCCCCTCAAGGGTCAAGTGTGGCCTGTGGTAAAAAAGTCTTGCAGTCCAATACTAAAAGTGACTCACAGGCTGAAAGGCAGCAGTAAATTGCCGCTAGAGTAGGCCCTCAATGGAAGTAATGGAGGAGTTGACTCATGAAATGCTCACTGATTCAGTGGGCGTACTCTAGTTACAACTTACAGTACTGCTCAATTTCAGCCACCGAATTCCATGGGACTTTGTCCTAGGTTTATGTGCTTATGGGGTTGTAACTTCAGTCTTATTGTTTTGTCAGGCAGAGATGAAAAGTGAAGATAAATTGTGGAGGCATTTGATATGCAACTGTTACAAAAAAGTTTTTTCTAAACAAGGCTTTCTGTTGTTCTGCAGTTTGCTGAAGAATGCAGAAGACAAGAATATCCTCCATCAGGACCAAGGTAAATAACAGTAAATAATAGATCAATAGGTGACAGTTGCAAATATAAGGAGAGCCCTTCTTTTTGAGATATCTCATTAAATTTAGACTTTGAAGTTATTGCACTGAGCCATGGTTGGGATATCACAGGAAACAAGGTGAATATCATCTAATTAGTAGAGTCATCTTACAATGCAACTGTGATTAGCAATAATGTTAAAGTTCAGCTAGGCCACTATTTGTATATTGAGTATGTTTTAAATAATAATATCTTTGGAAATGGAGGATAATGATAGGCATGCAGAACTTAAGAGTGAGAATAAGATAAATAAATATACATGTAAGAGTTGGAAAATATATATTTAGCCCAAAAAATATCTTGGCTATCTTCAGAGATTCTGAAGAAGACAGAGAACACTAGTTTGTCACTGTGTAGAAATAATAAGGAATTCTCTGTTAGATTTAAATACCGTGGTACTTCGACTTACGAACTTAATCCATATTGGAACAGTGTTTGTAACTCGAAACGTTCGTAAGTCAAAGCACCATTTCCCATAGGAATGCATTGAAAACCCTTCCGGCCGAAGAAAAAAAT